TTTATTTTACCAACCCTTCCTTCAGCTCTGATCTTCATCCTATCCTAATTTTACTTTACTTCCTATCAAAATATGCTCCTTCATGTCTGTATTTTTCCCAGTCCACTTAACTTTCACTTTCAGACTCTATCAAGCCCCCAACACGGCTCTCTGAAGTGACTTTGACCACGGAATTGTCTAGTCCAGTCGGAGTTTTTCATCTTGACTGTTTCCCAGCCCCTGCCTATCATGCCTGCTCCCTCAGAATCATGTTCTGTTTTTCCAAAGTCTCCTTTCCTGCCCAGTGTCCTCGGTTGCTCCTCTTCCTCCACTCTCCCTTTAAATGTGGTTGTCATGTGTATTTGAACACACCCCATCTGCTGTATCCTTATGTACTACAAATAGCTTCAATTACCTTGTAGTTTGCACCTGACTTTGAGTCTTACAACACCGTGCTGACCGCCTTCTATTTATTTACTCAAAATAAAAATGCTGAGCAGCCAACTATAAGACTGCTTTATTCCGTGTCCTTAAGAAATTTGGAAGCAGATAAAGGAGACATGGTTTTAGGACAAAACTTAGAAAAATAGAAAATCCATTGATGGCGATATGAGAAAATGTACCCAGGAAGGATCTGAAGTTATGTCTGGAAAAGCAGGAATAACAGGGAACTAGAGGAAGTGGCCACTGGTCTCAGTCTTGGAGGCACAGGGAGACAGTAAATAAGAGGATAGGTAAAGGGAAGTGAGAAGGTATTCCTGGGAGAATTGTCTGAAAAGGGCATTGTAGGGATAAGCCCTCCCCTTGGGGGCAGGCTGCCCTCGGGCGTATGTTTACTGATAAATTGGGAGGGCAGAGGCTGCGCGCCCCTTCCTGTCTCCGCTGGGTACTCCGCTGGAACCTTGGTTTCGTGAGTCTGGTTTTGTTATTAAACTTGTTCAAATATCTATTATCATTGGTGCTCATTAATCCAACCGCCGCAGGGCATGGTGCTGAGAGACACCCGGAGTTTTGGGAGGAATCCCTGGTGTGTTTGAGCTCACTACAGTCTATGTAAAAGAAGAGCAGAGATGAGGTCAAGGGAGGTGGCAGCAGACAGATTATGGAGGGACTTTTTGGTTATGTGTTGGATCGGATCATGCCCATAATTTATAGTTCTTAATTATGGGATACATCTATATCAGACATTAAAATGACATTCTGTTTGCATTTATGGCTGACTGTGTGTAGTACTTCATTTCCACAATCATTTTTAATAGCATTGTAATTTATATTTGAAATATATTTGGCAATCCAGGCATAGTGGCTCACACCTCTGGTTCTGAATGTTTGGGAGGAATATATTGCAAGTTCAAAGACAGGCTAGGTTGCATTGGGAGTACCAGGATAGCCGGGGCTATAGTCTCAAACAAGAACAGAACAACAACAACAATAATGATAATAAATGTCCAAGTACTTCAGGCATAACATTACTTAGGTATTTAACAAACATATTCCATTAATGTCTTTCATATTATTGTGTGTATGTGTTGATATTGTTGCTGTTATAGGGTCTTATTATGTAGCCATGGCTGACCTAAAACTTCCTATATAGACCAGGATGGCCTTGAAATAAAAGAAATTTTCCAGTCTCAGCCTTCCATGTACTGGGATTAAAGGCATGTGCCATTAAACTCAGTTATCTTATAGATTTTTTATCTCTATTGAAACACCTTTGTCAATATTTTCCCCTTTGCTTCTTGCTGCAGTTTCACTACCAAGAAACCTTAGAATTATCCATTATTTCTTCCTTCACACAAGCCTTTCTTTAATCTTCATATTTTTCTGCCAAACAACCCTAAATGGTGAGGGAAGAGATACATCTTCCCATGTGGTGGTAATCACCCACCAAAAATACAAAATCCCTTTACTTCCAATGACTTGGTATAGAAAGTGAAGCAAAGCTCGCATTTAATTCAAACCAAGTCTCTGTTTAAGTATTACTTCATTTGGGGTCTTAGATGATAGATTAGTCAGTACAATAATAATCTGAGTTTGAATTTGGACACACTTTTTTTTTGTTTTGAATTTTTAAAAGCCGGTTATATATTCCAGCACTGGAAAGGTAGGATCAGAAAGCTATTTAAGAATCATTAGCTAGCTGTTCTACCCTTGCTAGCCAGATCCAGGACAATGAGAGACAGTGTCTCAGAAAGGGTGGGTATATATGCACACACGATATATGCACACAAGAGCACACAATTATTGTTCTATTTAGCTAGTGCTGCACATCAAACGCAAAAGTCTGTGTTACTCTGCAAGATAAATAAATACATTTTCTCACCCATCTCTTGTCAATTGGGGTCAAGTGGGAGGCTCTGCTGATGGAGCTGGGCTCTCTCACACCCAGAGCCAAATGAGATTGTCTAATATGGCCTGGTTTTGCCTAAAGGATTCTGCTGGGATCAATATGTCTCTTGTCTTTCTCCTAGACACAATGAAGGAAGTACAGCACTAATAGGGATGGAAGTCAGTGAGCCCGGGTATTGACTACTGTTCAAGCCATGATCATGGTGTGTCTATTAACACTTCATCAGTTACAGTAAGTCACATGGTCAAATTCAGAGTCAAGGGCAAAGACATGGACTGTACATTTATAGTGATGCTACATGAAAAGTTAGTCTCAGAGAGTTGTTAAAAAATGATAAGAAATCGGAACCATTAATGCAATTCTCCCCAAATGTAAAAATGTTTTAAATGGCAGACAAATTAATGCGCATTTTCCTTTATAATGAAATAAGTACAAGATGGAAGCCCCAGATGGGCCAAATTATTTTGTCAGTCTTCACATCTACAGAATGTGGTTAATAATCATATTTTTGAGAGGTAAATTACTTACCCTAGAGCCTGGCACACAGTAACCACATAATCATGACCTCTTCCGGATTAAGGTTAAAGTATAAGCGTGTCCCTCAGCTCTTGAAATGTGGACTGTTACTGACAAACCCTAGGAACTAGCCGTGGTTTGGAAATGAAGCTGATCAGCCTCCCTAATTATGCTGAATTTATTATGCCTCCTGGCATATCATCACGCAAGCCAATTTGAGAAGCTCCTCCGAGCAGGATTAAAGGAATTTTTATAGTGGAGGAAATAGAAAGCGTTACGTCTTCTCCAGCCATCCCCACGTTAGGCTGTCTGCCTCTTCAGAAATCTGAAACTGATGGCCCCCTGAAGTCAAACAAGCAAGCATGTCTCGCTCTCTCCTTGACAAATGGATCAGCACTTTCCCAATACAGTCTGCTCTAACCTGAATTGCATTTATTAACTGGGAATAAGAAGGAGTTCAGACACAAATTCGTTATAAATAGGTCAATATTTCTCCTTCTGTGTCTTGCTGCAACTTTGTTACTCGGGATCGGTGGTCCATTTCCTGCCTTCAGCACCTCGACCTTGAGCAGTTGTGTTCGGGAAATCAATGCTTTGTAATACGACTCAAACTAATCCCATAATTGAGTCTAATTATGAACAGCTTCAGACAATTATTATGGAACTTTCAGAAGCAGAGATTGAAAAGATTGGTTCACTAAATCCCCTGATCCCCCTGCTGGTGGGGGCTCCCCGTAGCTTTTCTTTTTAGCGATCTGTCTGGTCCTATTTTGAAGAGTCATAAGAATTAGTCTGTCTGATAGTTTTCTTTGAAACCCCACTTAGAAGTATAATAGGCTCCGCCAGCTATTTTCACATAATATTTGTTCCCAGTGGTGTAGGCTCTTGTTATTCTTTCCAGATAGGTACTTTGTACAGGGAGTTACACGGCAATCTACATGATGGTCCATTTTCCCAGAAAAGGGATGTACAGTGAATTAGTAAAGAAACTTACTTACTGGCAGAGTTAATGAAAGCACAGTCTGCCCCACAGTTCACCTGGGATTCCTTTCCTTCTCTTGGCTCTTGCTCTCTCTGATGGGTATCTATCTTTCTCTGACAGGCTGTCCCCGAGCAAAGGTGTTCCTTGACTACTGTAGACTTCTTCAAGAGCCCCACTTGTTCCCAGTATTTACACCCACTCCATAAAAGAGGCAGGGTCTGAAGGGTTGGCTTAGTGATTAAAAGTATTTGCTGTTCTCGCAGAAGACTCCGTTTTGATTCCCAGAACACACTTGGCCAGCCCACAATTTATAACTTCAGTTCCAGGGAATTGTATGACCCCTTGAGGCCTCTGCAGGCACTGCATGTATATGATGCACATAAACAATTTGTTTAAAGCAACCCTTGGAGCTTGGAGGGATGACTCAGTGTGAAGAGCAGTGGCTGCTCTTCCAGAGGACCCTGGTTCTATTCCCAGCACCCACATGACCACATAATGGCTCACATTCGTCTGTAACTACAGTTCCAGGAGATCAGAACCATCTTCTAGCCTCTGAGGGCTTCAGGGCATACACATGGTGTACAGACATACATGCAAAGAAAACACTCACACACATTAAAAAAAATACAAAAAAAGGAAAGATTCATCACTGTAGCAAAATTACAGTTATGAAATAGCAATGAAATAATTTTATGGTTTGGGGTCACCTCAATGTGAGGAGCTGTATTAAAGGGTCACAGCACTAGGAAGGCTGATTTAAAGTATGCAGGCTGGTTCTAGGTTATGTACCCCCACTTCTGTCCCATCATGGATAGGATGTCCTCACTGACCAGCCTAAGTCAGATGCCTATCACCGTGGTAAGGTAAGCCCTCTTGATGAATGACTATGTGTGGGGATGAGACCAGGTTATCCTCCACTGGGAAAGAGTGAGAGGCATGAAGAACAAATATAGACATCTACTACACTTCTTAATCTTGTCGCATGTTCATGGCAATTTCTTTCACCTTATTTTTCTAAAGGTAAAATTGTGAGGGAGCTCCAGCTTTGTTGTGTGTGTGTGTGTTTTTAATTACTATTACTGCTTTTTATTTTCATATTCTATTTTTATTTCTTTTTAAATTTTCTTTTTGGGGTGCTACAATGGTGAAGGGCAGATACAGAGGGACTGAGATATGAGTGAGATTAGGGTGCAAAGAATCAATAAAAATTATGTTAAAATATTCTTTCATTCAATTCTGAATAATGCTGAACCAAATGAAAATGCTTCCAAATACTTTGACATTCCAAGTACCAAATGAACTCCATCTGCTATGGTATGAACGACAATGTTCCATGTGATGTAAGAGGAGGGAGGAAGGAGGGAACTGACGAGCTCATGCTACCCTCTGATCCTGAGAGCCTAGAGTCAAATAATTTTCTCGTTATCAGAGAATTAACCGTTAGAATCAGATGATATATAGAATACCTACCGAACCTAACCAGTAGTTTTCACACACGTTCTCCTTCCTTGTGAGATAATCCTGGATTCTGATGGTCACCCTAACCTTGTGGACAGAGGAAGCTGAATGGTTGCAATGTGTATATGATTCATACAGGCTGTGGTGAACGTCTGGGGGAGGGTTGAAAGGACTCCCAGAACTCCACTTGTGTTTCCCTGAAAGAAGTGTGCGCCTTCACACACGACCACCACCTGCATGGATATTCTTTCTCAGCAGAATAATTCTCAGCCTCTTCCCCTCTTCTTTTTCCCTCTCCAGTAGAGCCACTCCGTTTGCTGCTGACAATGAAAATGTCTTCCTTGCCCCATCTCGTGCCTCTTCAGTGAATTAGCATCATGATGTAGGAAAAGAACAAAGGCAGATTGAACTTATTTTCGATCTGTAATTTTAGAAAAAAAATAGTTGTTTCACAAGTATCTGTAATGTACATTGAAAGGCATCCAATATGAAGTTAATAACAAATTTCAATGAATAAAACATCAGCTCATTCCCTCTGCGAGTTTGTCTTGTGCATTACTTTCAAAGTGTGAGAAAAATGAAAATGCTGAGAAGGGCTAGCAGCTAGGGAAAAAACTCCCATTCAGTGCCAATATGAACACAGTTTTAAATTAATGGCCAATATTTAGATATTATTTGAAATCATATATGCCCCCAAACTAGAGTTAGCATCAAAGAATGAGCCTTTCTCACAAAGAGGTGTCATCTGATTCCTGATCTAGCATTCATTCACCTAGTTATTAATGGTATAAGAGAATTCTAATACCTAAAACATTACAGTTTAGGTCTATTACAATTAATATCACTATATCTCTCTTTGCTTTATTTCAAACTTACCTCCAAGTCCCAACAAATAACTGCGTCGTCATAGAAATTTTGATATCAGATGATTTTAACTATGCACTGGAATGATGGATATGAGTGAATCGTGCTTTACAACACTTCACTGAAAGTAAATGTAACCTAAGTTTCCTTAGGTTCTAAACAATAAGAGTTCAAGAAGAATATTTGGACATCACAGAACACATGTTGCCCTGTTCAGTGAACCTCCCAACCTAATTAGGCCAAGGACAGATTTTGCTTTTTCAGCAGAAAGCCAATAAATGATCAAAATCACCTTACACTGGAAAATGTAAATATACCTCTTCTCATCTCTCTAGCTAAAATGTTCATAGAATTAGAATTCTCACTATATATGGTGTAGAATACTAATTGTGTTTTCAGATAGATTATACCAAACAAGGACGCCTACACCTGGCAGTATTGTAGACTTCGTCTGATTCGTATGGCTAATGACTCTAATAACAGAGTAAATGAAAGAATCCAAATTTAGCAAGGGGAGAGCCCCCTATGTATGCTCCTGTTAATAGTCAAGGTCATAACCACAGACCTTGTACTTTGTCTGCTTCGGAAGTGGAGATGGGAGAAGGGAGAAAGGACTGAGAAACAACAGACACAAGTATGTGAGGCACAGTGCATAGAAAAGGACTCTGCTCCTGATAAAACAGGAGCAAATTTGTCCTATCTACTGTAGCCTTAAGGTTTAACATCTCATGGAGTTGAGAACTCTGGCAGTCATTATTTTCCAGTCTCTGAATTGGGGGACATCCTATGAAACCATCCTTGATTGGGTTATTTGCTCTAAAATTTAGTCTATTGTATTATAATTTGTTGGAGTTTTATTGTGGGTTGATCCTTATTTTTTTCTAGTTCTTTCAGCTTTTCTATTTTAATCAATGATGTATATGCACATAATTTCAAGAGGAAAATAGACATAGGAATTTTTATTTAAAATAAAATTAAACATAATAGTCCTCCTGTGCCCAAGCCTTTGCCCATTTCATACTTCTCAGAGGCAATGATTTCAAATGTGTCTGATTATTAATTTTCCTACTTATATCCATATCACTAATTGCTCTGCTTTGTGAGAATATACATACATGAAATTTTCTATTTCTTTTGTGTAACTTTTCTCAGATTTAAATTAATTCTCTGCATATAAAATTCTATAGAAAATTATTTTTTCTTCTTAAATACAAAGACATGGGTCTGTTTCAATACCAGCTATTGAGAAATGCAAAGCTTTCAAATTCTCATCCTCTAGTACAGGACTGTCTTTACTATATCTCTTCATTGCCAAAATTCTTAAATTCACAGTAACATTTCAAAATGTGGGTCTCTTTTTATCCTTTGTACGGAATAATCAGCAGTATCCATTAATCTGAAAATGCAGGGCTCTGTGTTTGGAGATGACTCAGCAGTTAAGAATGATTTGGCACTCTTGCAGAGAACCCGAGTTTGAATCCCAGTACTCATATTTTGTGGCTCACAGTTCCCCATAACTATAGTTATTTGGGATTTAGTATCCTCTTCTGGTACCTGAACATATGCAGAGGTGCACATCTATGCATTAGGGCAGACACCACCGCCACGCCACACACTCTTACAAATAAATGCATAGATTAAAAAATACATGATCCTGAAATCTTCTTAGATTACTTATTTGCTTACTTTTCACTGCAATTTGTATTTCTTTTACTATAGACTTTGGGTATGAAATATACTAAATTAACAGTATGCTGCTCTCCGCATCCTACCTAGTGACCACTGACTGCTTTGTGTATTTGTCAGGGTTCTCTAGAGTAACAGATCTTATAGAATGATCCTATAGATCAGATCTTATACAATCATGTGTGTGTGTGTATGATTTATTAGCTAATCCAGCAATGGCTGCCTGTGAATGGCAAGTCCAAGAACCCAGTAGTTGCTCAGTCCACGAGGCTGGATGTCTCAACTGGTCTTCAATTTTTGCTAGAATCCCAAAACAGGAGGCTCTAAGGCCAGTGAAGGAATGGACTTGCTAGCAAGGAAAGAGCAAGCAGGCAAAGAGCAAAAGCTTCCTTCTTCTCTGTCCTTAAATAGGCTTCCAACTTATAGGTGGGTTTCCACAGCTCAGATGATCTACATTAAAAGGTGCCTTCCAACATCAAGATCCATATTAGAGGTAAGTCTTTTCCCAGATCAAAAGGTCTGGATTAAAAGCATGTCTTCCTACTTCAAATATCCTGATTAGAAGTGGGTCTTCCTAATTTAAATTAAGCAAATATCCCTCACAGGTGTGCCCTCCATTTTGGGGCTTTAGTTAATTACAGATGTGGTCAAGTTGACAATCAAGAGTAGCCATCACTCCTTTTGGCAATTAAACTGGCTAAACAAAGTAAATATTTGGTGTAAATTTCAGTAGCTATCATCATATTCATATGTTTCCCATCTTTAGGAGGAGCAAGTTCTAATCAAAAGAACTATTTATACTCTTTATAACTCTTTATACTCTGTTCTACCCTTTATAACTCTTCAGACTTGTAGGTTGAGGAAGTAGGAATTTTCTAGATTCATGACAATGCTGGAGGTAGAAAAGAAAGGGTCTGGGGTCTTGTTGCTTTCATTGTTTTACTTTTAGTCTTAATCTAATCTAAACTAATCCCAAGGAGTCTTTCATCTCTAGTTCCTCAGCCTCCTGTGCTTTCCTTTGTTCGCTGGCTCTCCCCATTGCTAACCATTTGTCAACTCTCTCCTTCCACCTTTACTGCTACAACAGTGGTTTTGTTGTTGTTTTGGTTTTTTTTTCACCTTTCTTTGTGTGCTTCAACAATTCAATAAAAAAATAAAATCGACTTTTTATTTTAACGAGATATTTGGGATGCTATAGAGCATATACTGTCTATTGAGTCAGTAAAAAAAAAAATTTAAGGCCAAAAGCTTAACTAGGGCTGTATGAGGAAAAGAAGAGTAAGGGGTGGATAGTTATATGCTTGGTGCATCCACACCATATTCTGATCAGTTAGGTTTACACAGTAGGGGCTTGTCCAGAACTGAACACCTGTATCTACACACACATTGTCTCATGATTTTACCTTTTAACGTTGGCTCTATTATCTAAGATGGCAGTCCTAAGAGATGTAAGAGGATTTAATTTGAAAAGAAATAGTGATGCCTGGTGTGTGCTAAATTGCCTATAGTATGATGGTTGTTATGTTTTTTTATCTTCCAATTACTCATTCAACAAATATCCTTAGAGTCCCAACTATGTGTCAAGAATCAATTAGATATGGGAAGTGTCTTGAAATAATGTGGAAAAATTGTCAAAACTAGTTATACTATTAATTAGAATCTCCTTTAAGGTTGAAATGCAGAGTGCTAAATTAGGAAAAGTTGGTGAGGATTATCCAGTCTGAAACCCAACAAATATATGAGCAACTGTAACAGGCTATAGTCTGAGTTCACATCCCCTGCCTTCCACTTGTCAGACTGAAGTGGTCTGATAGCAAGTGCCCAAATACTGATGACTTCAGGATTAGTCAGCAGCCACACAACTGGGATAAATCAGAATTCTTTACAAACACACTATGATTACTGAAAGTTCCAAAACAAGTCAGAATCTAAGTTGATGTTTTAGTTCAAGGTCCCGGAAAAGTGTCCGATGTCCTATGTCCACACGCTGGTGTATTTGCACAGGGCTTCCATGTGCTCTGAGAACCTAAATGTTATACAAGAAAGAAAACACCTAAACTGCCATAAGGCACTTTGGTGTTTGTCCAGCACTGTGCATGTTTGCCTCTAATCTCTTCCATGGATTTGCTATTTGTCTAGAGCTTAAGAATCTTTACTCAGTTATCAGTAATCACTGTCTATACCTGCTGTAAAATTTAAGTCATAGCCATGTATGCACTGGAAACAGTTCAGGTGGCCTGAGGGGCTAAGTATCCGTGGTTTGAATCTTAGGTCTACCATTACTCGATGCATAAGCTTGACCAGGTTCCTTTATATTCCATGTGCTTCACTGTCCTCTGCTGGAAATTGGGACAGCAATGACACAATTAAGGCTGGGTGATTCACCCTAGGCACCGTCAATCCCTCCTGTATCACTGGAATTATTGCCTACAGTTCTTTCTTATTTTTCTAGCAGTAATGTGTAGCAAAATCCAAACAAAAGAAGTTCTCTTCAAGCAAGATTAGCCATCCCTTCATCTCCCTTTCAATCTTTAAAAACATTTACATTTTTTTCCAGTGTTAGACCTCAAACCCAAGACCTCATGGATGGCAGACAAACACTCTTACCACTAAATAAACTGTGTCCCCAGATCCTTCTTTTTAACATTTTATTTTGAGACAGAATTTTTCTAAATTGCCCAAGCTGTCCTCAAACTCGGGATCCTACTGCCTCAGCCTATTCAATACCTGGAATTATGAAACAGGTGCTGTCATGACTAACTTTATGACTATGATTCTTAACATGATTAGTTCCCTGACTATGATTAACCAATTTAACCAAACCTCAGACAAATACCCAGGTAATACACATCTGTAATTTCAGAGTTTGAG